TATATATATATATATATTCATTTATTTATATAGAACTGATAATCCAACAACAAAAGTATATCAATATAAATTTGAATATTTTAGGACGATAAAATTAGAGTTGCCCAAAATGCGGGGTAACTCATGAGCCTCACATATATCTTCATAATTTGACACAAATTTCGATGAATGATACGGATCTCGATGCAATCTTTGAAACAAGAAATGTTCGAATTTGATTAAATGTTAACCATAACTCAGATTTCAACAAACTTATAGTCAAACTGATCGACTCAATAAGAAGGACCCAACAATACCAAATTTGGTCTAATCTGAACCAAATCAAACCCCGATCAAGACAATAAATCATTGAAATTTTACATACATATTTAAAAGGTCAAATGGAAGTCAAACCTGAAGCATCTTGGCGAGAAAAATCCAACCCCTAAATCACTCACTTCCAACATCATTAATGCACTCAAATTACCATTAAATGTTGTCCACTCAAGAGAATAAACAAATTACCATTAAATGTTGTCCACTCAAGAGAATAAATGCAGACTGTCCAATCAAAATTGTTCAAATTTCATCATTAATTACAAACAAAACTATAAATAGAGTCACACATCTCTCAAGAGGAAGAAGAGAACTTGAAGTTTTGAGAAGGAACTGAAGTCTAACATCACTCCTGCCGCCATCAACCACTACTTGCTGACCGCCGCTAATTGCTTTCATCACCACCAATTCCCTTCAACAAGTTCATCTACAAATCAATGTTATAATTTGGAAGACTTGATAATCATTTCCCGCCTGAAAAATAAGGTATTCATGTAATCATTAACTTATAGCAGATCTCTTCAGTCTTTCCCTCCCCTAGCTTTTCAATGTAAAAATTTTTGGTTTCCTCTTGCTGTTTTCTTTGTCGAATTGTGTACTAAATTCTCGCGCAACACCAAAACACTAATACACTACCCGGAAATTTTTTTAGCACACATCAATAATATAATAATATAACTTTAAATATTAAAAAAAAAATACATAATAATACAATACACTTGTTCATGATTCCATTACCAGAAAATCCTCGTTTTCTAATCTTCTGTACGATAGGAGCTAGGGCACAAAAAACATATAATTAAATAATAAGACATTTACATGCATACCACCCAATTCCTATGTATCTACACGCCTAACACCTAAACTTTTACTTACATTTACACCCCCAAATCTTTTATATAATAAAAAAATATCACCATATTAAGTTTTAAAAAGTGAAACATTTTCATACATAAATAATGTGACATATATTTAAAACTTAAAATTTAGATTTTAGGGATGCAATACTTAAGAACTGAGTTATATTTATGTTTATCACCCTAAAATATATGACATTATTGTTCAGAGAATTATCTTAATTTTAATTTATTTTTCCAATATTCTTTTCGAATGCATTATTGCCAAAAGACCACACTTGCGCATAGATATCGTATACTCTTTACAGTGAGTATGCAGCAAATATTCCTCAATCAATAATGCCCATAAATTAAAAAGGGCTCAATCGGGCATAAATGCTATGTGAACTGGCTTGTGTTATGCGGCTAGAATTCTTACTTAGCTAGCAATAGGTATAGCAACCATTGAAGGAGTAGATAAACTAATCTTTCCGAGCTAGTTCTTCCATGTGCCACTTGGCTCCAACATTCAGCTCGGTGGCTCGACCATTTCAATTGGTTTAACAAAAGTACAAACCAATGTGTCGATTACACTCGCATTAGTGCTAATTAAAAGCAAGTTCTTACGGTTCTTGACAATTTTCACTAGAATCTCTCCCAACTCAAATAAACAAGGCTTAAGGCTTAAAATTATCAAAATTTATATTTATATCGAAAAACTTCCTTCTAATAATCACTTAATAGCTCACCTCATTTCAACATTATTTCTAATCAATATTATCTCTCTTTCGTAACAAAGAAGCGACGATGTAGACTTGCAATTTTTAGAAATGTCACCTTAATTATTATGACTTAGTTTAATACTAATATAGTGACACTTCCGATATATGACATAAATGAGTAAGGTGACAGACATTAAAAAACAAAGTGTGTTAGGCGTAAATATATAGTAACAAGTTTGTCAATCATGACAAATTTACATTAATGAACTTACTAAGCTAATTTTAAATTTTTTCAGAAAAACTAACACCTAAAGCAACACTTTTTTGTTGGCTCTTTCCATACGACAAAAACAATATGGTTATCTCAATCAAAGTCATTGTCTACACAGCTTGGGACAAATTTGTAAAACTATAATATTAATATATGTTTTAGCCATATGGTGCGATATCAAGACATTATTAACCAAAAAACAGCACAATTCCAGACTATTGAAAGTAAAGTTTGGCCTAAAAACCTTTTGGCTGCAAAAATGACTGGTAATTTTGTAATATTTCTAGTTGGGTACACAAATTATTTAATATTTGCAAGTGAAACAAAAAATGCACCTTAATAGGGAAATATTTCATCATACAACTTCTATTTATAAAACAATCAAGACTAGATTTCCTAAAACGTCTAAATCACAACCCAAAAAATTCCAACAAACAGAGAGCTCTTGAAAAAAAATTTAACAGCAACTAAAATTAAAGAAAAATATTAACCGCAAGCATTAAAGTAAGCCTTAAAAAATATAAAAAATTAAACCAAAAATGGCCAAGTGAAATTGAACGGTAAAAATAGACGGTGAGCCCTCACATAAAAAGTATAAAACATTGGTGTTTTATGCAAAAATAATATAGTTCAACCAGAAACTTCATCAATTGCTAATCCAAATTTAATTAAAATATTCTGCCAATCAAAATATCATGATGAAACAACGAGTAAAGAACAAGAAATGACGCACTTCAACCAGCCAAAAATTGAAACAGCTAAATCATGAGTTTGTCAATCATGCTATAACTGCTACATCTCTCATCAAAACTGTAGTTTTACATTTACACCAATTGCGTTTAAAAAAAAAAGGACAGCTGAACTTATGATCCAGACTCTATTCTAGATTCTTCAAAACAGCCAAACTGTGAAATAATTTCTGGGAAAGAAATACTCCTAAAAGTAACTTCTAAAAGAGGAAGTTAGGAGATAAACATCAAATAGGAATCTGCGAAATTCGGTGACAACAACAGGAATTTCTGAACAGACAAAAAGGAAAACTGTATCAAGAAGGCTACATCGACAAGGAAACCAAAAAAGGGATGAATTTGTGATGTTGAGGGCAAATCGCAGCCGTCTGATTCAGAATAAGTCATTGAAATATGAAGAAAGGTTGTCATCTAGAACTATATCTATGTTATTTACAAGGGAGAGACGGTGAAAGTTGATTCAGGTCTCTAGATCCAAATATCTGATACAAAAGAAAGGGTGAGAAGAGTTGAATAATCCTATAGAGTTCTGTAAAGGAAAGGATTAATGAAAACATGAACAAGGGAGAAGGGGGATCTACTATGGGAGAAGTTGGAGCATGAGGGCACCGAATCACTATTTTTGGACTGATTTGTTTAGAGGAAAATTGAGAAAAAGGCATCACCAATGATCGGGATTGGCGCCCTGATCCAATGTACCCTAGAAGCATGCGAGGAGATATCAAGTATCTCGCCAATTTACGCAATTAAGATATTTCATTATGCCACAATTGTACACAAAATCAATATAAAAAAAGCATAAGAAACAAGATCCTATGGCGGTAAAATGTGTTTTCTTATGTTAGTTTTCAGATCAAGAAGTGTACAAATGCTTTGCCTTGTTAAAAAATTTGTCAATCTAGGATGCCTATCCTTGATAAAACAAAACCTTTCTTTGAAAAAAGTATCAAGGGGGAGGGTAAATGGTAACTCAAAATGATGAGTGAAATTTAAGTCATTTTAATGATGAATTTACCCATACTATTCTTAGAACCTTCAGAACTTGGCAATTCTACTGATGAAAACTTACCATATAAACCATGATTAAGCCAAAATAGAGAATGAACCAATATGGATAAATCATTGAACTAAATTAAGTAAATGTTCATCTAATGGAAAAGAATCTGAGGGTCATCTACGAAACCATAATTACAACCCAAATCAAAGTCATAACTCACAAAACAGGTCTCCATCATATCCAAATTCTAAAAAAGAATTTTGACGACCTCAAAATGCTAATTAGTTCTCAAGGATGCAAGGATGCAAACCTAACACTAATCATCCCATATCTAATTTTATCCAAAAGAGAATAGTCACCCCCTTTTTTGTACCTTCAAAACCAATCTAACATTGATCAAGATTCCCAAAAATGCGCAAGAGACTTTACATTTAACTGAATAAAGAGGAGATCTTGACAAAAACACAACTTGAGAGATGGTGACTTGAGAAATGGAAAGACAATAGTTATTAGTTATAAATAAGATATTTCAATTAATTTCAATTCAAATGAGTCACATAGAAATATAAGGCTCCTTAATTGTTAAAGGATTTACTAAAACCAATGGAATTAATCAGATGAAAAAAATATCACCCCTAAATCAAAATTTGTATACGGTTAAAGTATTTATTTTTTTATGGCAACAAATCTTCGTTTAACCATACCAAGTACATGTCAAGAATGCATTTCCCAACAAAGATCAATAAATATTCCACAGATCCACCTGGATTTTAAAGGAAAAAAAGTCTAGAGAATGAAGGACACAATAATAATTGCTTACATAAATGGCAACAAAGTCACGATAAATGTTATGGATGGAAATTAATTGGGAGATCAACTAAAAGTACACCTTGCTAAATAATTTGAAATCAATCACCTGAAAGGCCTCAAATATTTTCTAAGAAAGAAAATAAGAAATTCAATAAAATGGAGTAATAATTTCTCATATTTCAACAGGCTGAGTAGATTCAGCCTACTGACAATACAATTGATCCGATAATTAAATTCAAAGAAGTCAAGAATACAAAATTTGTTGATGTGGCTTATCAAAATTTAATTGTCATATCCCATACAAGAATCGATATAGCCTTTAATGAAATCCAAAGTATGTGCTCTCCAACCAAGAAAAAACAATTAAAAGTTATGCAGAAAATCTTGGGGTACTTAAAAGTTATTCTGAACAGAAACTAAATCAAAGAAAAACACAATATGCTATATCAAAAAATTACATTGACGTAGATTGGAATGGCTCTACTACTAAACATAAAGATGATGCGTGTGTGAATTATTATGGTTATACCATGTGTTTATTTAACCAAAAAGAATTTTCAAATTAAGTTTTATAATTGACAACAAAGCTTCTATAAGCACAGCCAATAAACGTAGTCAAGATAAAATCAAACATGTTGAAGTTAAATGACATTTCATAAGGAGAGGCTTAAAGTAGCGATTTTTTGCATGTCTTTTATTCCAACTTTCCAAAAACTTATAAATATACTTACAAATCAATGTTTGAATTCAATTTTATTGTCATAATAAATTGGGTTGGTTCCTACTAATTACAAAAGATACGCTCCAAGTTAATGTATCTATGTAGCAATTTTTTTGCATGTCTTCTATCTCAACATTCCAAAAAATTATAAATATCCTTACAAAGGAATGTTCAAATTCAATTCTATTTTAATAATAAATTGGGTTGGTTCCTACTAATTATAAAAGATCCGCACCAAGTCAATGCATCCATGTATGAGTCAACATGGTTACTTAGGGAGAAAAATGTGGAAGGCGTATACTGGAACAGTGATGAAGTTGCAATATTCAAGGAACAGTGATGGAGTTGCAATATAGGGTCATGAATAATGATAACGTTCATTTTAACAAAATGAAGTTTCAAATGAGACAATATTGTGAGACAAAAATTTCTGCAAGTATAGCCAAAAATCTTGTCTAAGATGATAGAACCACAAATGTTGAGGTTGATCAACGTTTTATAGAAGGAAGCTTAAACGTACGAATTATTTGCATGTTTTTTATTCCAAATTCCCAAACTAACTGTAAGTTCACTCTCAAAAAAAATTATTTAAATTCAATTTTCTCATTAGAAAGTCGTTATTCAGTGATACATACCCTCTGGCTTGATAACTACCATAGAAAGGAAGGAAATCTTATAAGTGCTAGCTATACCAAAACAGAAATAGAAGAACCAATTATGGGGCGGGTAGCTGAAGTAGGAATAGAAAGACAACTTTTTAAAGACGTCTGCCTAACAAGAAGTTGAGAAAAAGCTATCACCGTTAATTAGGAAATCCTAATTCTTTAGATTTCAAACTTGAACATTGTTTACTTAAGAAAGCAGCCATTAATTGTAATAAATATCTATCCAATAAATATATGTATTGTTCCTCATGAAAAAAGATTTCAATGATTCTTAAAATATTTAAAATGCTGGTCCACATGATAATACCATATGTATCATATTAAACTTGAACAAAGCTTTTGACAGCAACAAGTTGCAAATTGATTATATTCCTCTAAAAGAGTGAATATTTTCCGATACCAGATATCTAAAGATAAGAATGAGTAATATATAGGTCATTGATACGAGTAATAAGATAGTGCTGTAATCTGTCTCACAGCAGGTAAAGCAGCAGAAAAAAAAATTCACTTCAGATACAAAAACTTCATAAATGAAATCTTTAGTATCACATAAACGAAAGGATGAAGCAGCGGCAGACTACAGGTAATTAAGCTAAGTAATCTCAGCAAAACTACCTACAAGATCTGAATATCAACGAGTATTATTTTACCCAAAAACTTCAGAAAGGACCATACTTTCCCAATAGTCCACGCAAAGTAGCGTTCATATTGAAGATAAAACTGTATAAAGTGAAGTAGCCCTAAATGAGATTTTTATGAACAAGCTTTTTTTCCCAATCAAGTGAGTGAAGAAAGAAAATGGTTTATTCTAACTTCTAGAAAGTATGGAAAAAAGAAAGTTCCTCGTCATTTTTTCAGTATTCCAAGGAAATGTATTGTTCCATAAATCCATCACATGTGCAAAACAGAGAAAGGGAAAAAAAACACAGATATAATACAGCCAATTTATTTTGATAATCAAAACGGCAACACAAAGGAGTTTATCTACCAGTTTGCAAAAAATATAGATTTCAAGCATCAGATGGTTGCATTGACAAGAAATAAATTGGCACATTTCCAGTTCACATAGCACACATTGCCTCTGAAAGTAAGATACAGAAACAGTGCACCTTTGAACATGATCTAAGTGAATATAATCCGTTCAGATGGAAAAAGTGAAAAGCACAGTTCAGTCTTACAACGAAAGGATGCAGAGGTTTGAAATATAGTTGAGAAGATGGGTACGAATATACCAGACAACCAGATAAAAAGATTCGAAAGAGAGCACTCATACTGATAACAGTGACTTCTGCTCTAACAGCCATAAAATTAAAGAGAAATAGAAAAGAACCTAAAACTTCTAAGATGTCCATAAAAAAGCATCAGCATAGAGAATTTCACCTAGTTTCTTGGAAGATTCTTCATGACCCTGTTTGATAGGAAAAGTAGATGTTAAGGGAAGAGGAATTTAAGGATCCTACTACTTCCTCTCCAGAAAGAAATGACGGAACGAAGGAGGATAAGCTTGAATACCACATTACAGAACAGAGACTAACTTTCTGGCTCTAAAGACTGGATGTGAATGATCAGGTTGACATGATAAATGCCTGAATTAAATTCTCCGCGGAACGTTTCTGATCTGGGGTTCCTGAAATCTGAGCAATACGCTCATAGCGTGATGATTTAGAATCAACAATTTCTATATCAGCTCCAGATATCTGCATGAAAGTAAAGAACAGTCAAGAGAAAATTCAATGATGAATATGGATAGGTCAATTTTACAGATAGTTCAGAGCTATAATCTAAAAGCAATGCAAATTTGTAAATATATCCTCCATTTACAATTCATTTACTAAATGTACCCGCTAGATTATGCAGCTACATAGAAAAACTACGTGGAAGGAGTTTCTATGTAGATGATCAGTTCAACATTATCTTTTGCACAAAGATTTGTTTTAGAAATAAATTTTTTTTACTGTAGCTGTCACTTCAGCTAATGAAAAAGCTTTACATTAAATCTTGTAATATAAATCTTTGTATTTTCTGTTGAAACACAAGGAATAATTCAAGAAACTACAAGACCAAGGTCAAGAAACTTCACATACTTTGTATTTTCTGTAAGACCATTTTTGGATAACTAGATATTGATTTCCCGTTTCTATCAAGGAATGCCATGAATAAAATTAAAAAAGGATTTCCCTTTCAAAAAATCACTGTTAGATAGATTTGCTTATAGGTTTCACCAGGAGTATAAAAAAAGTTTTCAAAGAAAAGATAACCACGACCCTCCAAATTTTCTTCTGACGGATGTTCACTTTACTTGCAATCTAATAGTCAGAATCATGCTGGAGAAAACAGACTAAAGAGTAAGAAATAATGTAAGCTAATTTGCAATCTGGAAAACATTAGGAATTAATCCAATGCCACTAGAGAAGATAACAGCAATAAAAAAAAAAACTAAATGGGAAATATTGTGCCTATTTACAACAAAAGGAAAGAAAAATAAAGTGACTTCCAATACTTTCTCAGCCTATAACTTCAAAAAAAGGGCAGAAACTCTTATCCGAGCTCAACTTTTTTTTTTTCTCCCGACTCCCAAAGTGCTATGAACCAACTAATCAAATAATTAGCAAAAACTAAGAAACTAACAGCGATTAAAAAAACCAAGTTTCAACAATAAAGAATCTATATATGCCATTTTTCACCATCCAAAAACATTACTTGGGGGAAAAAAACAGCCATAGATATGGAAGCCACATTCACCACTATTGAATCATTTTAATTGATGTCAAACTAAATTGGGAGACAAAAATGAACAAGTTGTTTACACATTAGTTGTTAGAGTAGGATAACCTCACAACCATTTCCACAAAAAAGAAGAGAATCATTTTAACTTCTCTAAGAACCAAACACCAGATGTAATGAGTAGTGTAATAATATTATCAAGGGATTCTATTGGCAGGGAACGGTTGATTTGATTGCTTTTCCTTGAGGACTTCTATCACAGCAAATAGTACAATAATATTATTTCAATTATACAATTAAATACCAATAGTGTATAAGAAACAATTTAAGGTCTTAGATTACATAAAACTACAGATTAGTAGATGTGATGAGAAGCTACAAAAGTGCAATGAACCAACTAATCAACTAATTAGCAAAAACTAACAAACTAACAGTGATTAAGAAATACCAAGTTTCAACATTAAAAAATCTAGATGTGCATTTTTCACCATCAAAAAACTTGACTTAAGGAGTAAAAAGCAGCCATTAGATATGGAAGCCACATTCAACACCATTGAGTCCTTATTAATTGGTTTCAAACAAACTAGCGAGACAATGAACAAGTTGATTTCACATTTGTTAATTTAACTAGTTCTTAGAGTAGGATTAATTCACCACAATTTCCACACAAAAAAAGAAAAGAGAGAGAGAGAGAGAGATTCATTTTAACTTCTCCAAGAACCAAACATTGGACATTGTGGATAAAGAAATGGGGATTCAATAACTACATTGGACAAGGCAAAATTATTTAGTTTCTGACTTATATTAGATAATCTCAAGTCAGTCAGTGAAATTGGAAGCCAATCAATCACGCTTTCTTTCTAACTAAATATGCTTCATAATTAAAAATAATGATATTTATTAAGCTCAATTAGCATCAAAGCAAATAATTAATAAACAATCAATTAAAGGAATTAGATATTCGCTAATTTTTCAATTACGTGCATGTGCACGCATGCGCGATCGCGTGTATGTGTGTTTCATTTTTATAGAGAAATTGAGTTGGCATTTGGAGTGCGTTTGAGGGGGCATTTTGGGTGCTTTTCATTTTGAAAGGCAGCTAAGGGTTTGTTTGGCAGCTAGCTTTTTGGGGGCTTTTCACGAAATCCCATTATTTCAGCATAAAGATCCATGATCTGGAAAAAAATGACCTCCAAGCCCCTCGTCCTTTCCGAAGTTTCCTCTTATTGCCATTGATATTATTAGAGATACTTTCCTCTTTTGTGGTACTATTCGCTTCACCCCTATCTTTATTGCCATCTCTCTATATGTCTCTCCAACGATACTGGTTGGTTTAGGGTTACATGAGGGTTTGGTTTTTCATTTTTCTTCTGTGGTTGTCGATTGTGGCTTCCCATTTTTTCTGTTGTTGTAGTTTGGTGTTTCTCATTTTAATTTTGTGGTTGAGGTTTTGGGCTTCTCCTTTTTCTTCTATGTTTGGGGTTTAAGGTTACATGAGGTCTTGGATGTGGTTTTGCAATGTCGTTTTTGCCATGGGTGTGGTTAGGTGGTCTCTGTTAGTTGTTAGTTATAAGTATGGGTATGGTTTTGAAATGTTAGGCGTGGGTGAGGGTTGTTGGTTTTTGGTGGGTCGTAGTTCGATTTATATATGCTGTAGTTTGAGTAAATTGGTTAGAATATATGTGAAGTGGTTTTGGTTGGCTGTGATTTTGGTTTTGATTTTGGACGGATGACTTTTGATTGTAAGTGTGGTTTGGTGGGTTATATTGGATGTTGGATGTGAATGTTGTTTTGATATGTTGGTGTAGGTGTGGTTTTGCAATGTTGGTTGTGGGCATGGTTTGGTGATCTTTGATCGTCATCGTTGGGTTTCTATGGGTTGGGGTTTGAGTTAATTGGTTGGGTTATAGAAGATGTGGTTGTAGTTTTGGATTGATGGTTATTTGTTATATGTGTGGTTTTTTGGTCTCTATTGGCCTGGCTGTGATTTTGGTTTTGATTTTGGACGGATGACTTTTGATTGTAAGTGTGGTTTGGTGGGTTATATTGGATGTTGGATGTGGGTGCTGTTTTGATATGTTGGTGTAGGCGTGGTTTTGCAATGTTGGTTGTGGGCATGGTATGGTGATCTTTGATCGTCATCGTTGGGTTTCTATGGGTTGGGGTTTGAGTTAATTGGTTGGGTTATAGAAGATGTGGTTGTAGTTTTGGATTGATGGTTATTTGTTATATGTGTGGTTTGTTGGTCTCTATTGGCCATTGGTTGTGGGTGTGGGTGTGGGTGTGGGTGTGGGTGTGGTTTTGTAATGTTGATTGTTGGTTGTTAGCTTTGGGTATGGTTTGCTAGTCTTTGATGGTTGTGGTTGGGTTTATATGTGTCGTGATTTGAGTTAATTGGTTGGGTTATATCGGATGTGGTTGGGGTTGGGGTTGGGGTTGCTGTGATTTTTCATTGATGGCAATTAGTTGTGGGTGTGTTTTGGTGGTCTTTGTTGGTTGTTGGTTTTGGTTTTGGTTTTGCAATGTCGGTTGTTAGTAGAAGTTGGTCGTAGTTTTGGTTGTGGCTTCGCATTGATTGTTTTTGTTGTGGTTTTGCATTGATGGTTGTGGTTTGGTGATCTATGTTGGAAGTTGGTTCTTGGTTGTGGGACCATGTATACTTCAGTTTGTAGAGTAATGATGTGAAAAAAAAAAAATCAACCAATAACCAACTTATTCATATAATTGTCCTCACTTGTTTTCAATCACAGTTAATCATACATACAACAAGGTCTTAAAGGCAACTAACCACAAATATTATATGGTTTTAAAACATGCAAGATATTGTTAACCACAGATACTACTTGATTTTAAAGTACACATGACACTGTCAACCACAGATACTACCCAATCGTAAAGCATACACCACATTATTAAGCACAGATATTGCCTAATCTTAAAGCACACATGACAGTTAACCAGATATATCGTCTGGTCTTAAGCACACACGACACAATTAACCATAGATATTATCTGATCTTAAAACACACATGACATCGTTAACCACAAATGCTATCTAGTCTCAAAGCACATCACATTATGTATCTCGTCTTCAAACACACATCACACTGTTAATCACAGATACAACTTGATCTTAAAGCACACATCATATTGTTAACCACAAATATTATCTAGTCTTAGAACACACATTACACTATTAACAACAGATATTACCTGGTCTAAGTCTTAAAGCTTATATGATGCAGTTGATGATCCTAAATGGAACATTAAAAAATTGACCTTACTGAGCTCTAATTCGATATGTTGTTGTTTTAAAATTTTGTTTCAATTTTTTAATTGATTTTTTTTTTAATTGCAAGTTAAATTATATAATTTTCTCCAATTTTTTTATCTTCATGATACATCGGATAAGAAAACAAAAAAAACAAGGTATATCGACCATTTGAGAAAGGGAAGTAAATATTATATTATGTGATATGCTTGAAAGAAATTGATATTTGATAAAAAAAATGTTTGGCAAAACATAGCAAAAACTTTCAAGAAAAATCAGAAAGGTTGTATGATAAAACTTAGATGAAGAACAAATAGGATCAACTGAAAAAATATTAGAAATTGTGAAAGGAGTTGAAGAGATAAGCAATTGAATTAAGGTAAGAACTAAGGACCATGTTAAGAAAACAATGAATGTATCAGGGTGGTGGGGAGAAAAAATTTCATGTGATAGAAAATGTTATATGAATTTTTTATATTCTTATATTAATTGAACTGCAATTTTATCAACTGTAAGTCCTGCTCGACGCCAAAAAAATATATGATTTCTAGCAACAAGCTGAAGAAGAAACTTGAGTCTATGTTTCTTGGTGTTGTAGCAACAAGTTCCTATGTCTGGGCAACACCAGAGGACTTCCCCCATAATTTAAATGAGAGCAAATATGCTCATTCAAATGAAGTCCAAGAGGAAACGTAACAGGAG